AATGATGTTTTGTGAATAAACAAATTCAATTACCTTTCTCCTAAGGATGAGAGGGGCGTCATCATCATCATCATCATCATCATCCTGCAAAATGGGAGATGCTGAAGTTGGTCATTTGCGGCTGGAGGTACCTTTGGCTATAGTAGCCTTGGAGGAGGAGAAACAAATAGAAGAATAAGATGTTTAGCACGAGCAGGTGAGGAAAGATTCTTGATGGACACAAGGATAGCCAGAATGGGAGAAGTAGAAGATGTGTTTGGTTTATCTAGCACATGGAAAGCACGGTTGGCATCAGTTGTGAACAACCTGCGTTTCACAGACAGCTAGAGTTGGTCAAAAAGGAGGTGTGTGACAGCAGTAGAATTGAAAGAGGCTAGGGAGAAGCTTTTGGCCAAAAGATTATTACGAGCATCAATAGCTTGGACCTCGGTTTATTGATAGTATGGAAACGCTCTGTCAAGTTCTTAGAATAACAAGGAGGAACGTACCACATTTGGGCAAAACCAAGTTGGTGAGCAAAAAATTGGGGAACATATATCTCAACCCCTGCCTTAGGATTTGTTCCTGTGACAATGTCATGGAACAGTTTTCTCCCAACCAAAAATTGAACCCAGATAAGGAAAGAAGTGCTCACTTCAGCTAAAGTATAAGGAGGTCGTATGTAAAGAGGGATTTGATGAGGAGAAAAAGGGAAGAAAGAAGGTGTTGAATTCAAAGTATAAAAGAATGTAAAAACGTCTCTACTGGACATATTTACAGGGCTCAATTGATGAATGAATATCCCATAGCAGCTGACTGTTCAGGGAGGAGTTGGTGGAGTACCAAGTTGTGGGAAATAGGCTCTCAACCACAATTGAGCAAGCCAAAGGGCCCACTACAAGTGGGAGACGGACCACTCTTTAACTGAAATTGGAGGGAAGCTATGCCTCCATAAAAGACTGCTAAAAAGAATGAACACAAATTCAAAGACCTGCCGCGTGCCAATTCATTCGATAGTAGCAGATAACTCATAGAAAGTTTCAGNATGCGATAGGGACAGATAACTCAAGGAGGGTTTCAGGTTGGAGACACTAAGAACGTATTTACAGAGCCAGACCTAAAGGAAAGCTACATGCTCAGCATGAGTAGGTTCAGAATTGGAAGCAGTATAAAGGCCTTGCATGCTCGAGTAAGATTCAGCAACTTTCTTGTCAAACTTTGGGGCAACATTGGAAATCAAAATGCCAGGAAAAATGGTATCGCCCGAGGGTAGAAGATTTACTAAAGCTCTAACATCCCTTAGAGTAATAGACATTAGGTCAAGAGGGAAAACAAAAGTGTTATACTCAGAAGACCAGAAACTTAACGCGATTGGAAAAAAGCACTGGGTCATAAGTTGGGGGAAAAAAGGTAATTTGTAATAGGTTCAAAATCCTAGCACGATAAAAAATTGTTTTGGTGTGATNTGGCAAGGAGGGTTTGGAAATCTTCGAAATTAAGGCTGTTATCAGAAGAGGTTTGTGGAGTCGCCATTTGCAACAAAATATAGTCTTGGTGAAGATTCTTGAAAGGCATAGTGGAGAAGCAAGATGGTGAACAGTAACTTTCGTAGAACGCACGATGTGAAGACATGAAGGTAATGGCGCGATAAATGGCGTGTCTTTTGGGTTTATGGGGGTTTGTAACATTGCACCTTTTCAGATTATAGAAAGGTTACAACCAAACGGAAATAATGATTGAAATTCTTGGGAATTTCAAAAATTGCCGAAAAATACAAAGAAAGAATATGGAAAAGATTAATAATTGGTATTAATTCTGCCATATTAGGGGGTAATTGTTAACATACAAAAAGTGTAGCCCAAATCGAGTAGCCCAAAGGATGAAACTCAGTTAAGAAGTCCAGGATGAAGGCCCAAATAGGACCATTAATGAATGCAGTGGAGGCCCACGAACAAGGTACCATCATCGCCCAAGTTTGCAAGACTCCCAAGATCCGAGTGAGTGGAGTGCCTTAAAATCACCCAGAGCAAACGAGCTATTCTCGCCCAAACCTTCGAATCGCCCAAGATCTTAGCAAACATGAGGAAATATGGTTATCCAGAGCAGCAGTTATTGAAGCGGTTATTGAGTAACCTTACCACACCCCACGATCCAAGAATTATAGTTGATAATCTGCGAGAATAATGGCAACAGTTAGAGAATGTAGTTCTATGACAAGTCAACCATCATGAAAAAAGTGGGTAGTTATAGAGAAATCAAGCAGTTTCCAAACGATTTGTCGTGAAGGAATTATTAAGGAAGTATAAAAGGAAGAGAAGACATAGAGAAAAAAGGATCCCAAATCAAACACTATAAACAGAGAATATGTAATTTCAATTCCTTAGTTTAACTTTAAACACTTGTTTTAGTACTCGTGTGCTTGCGCCCATTGGAGAAATTCTATTTATTTCCAATTGTAAATCATCACTAATAAAACACCCTTTTTTAGAACTTTGTCTCACCTTACACAAACATCTGAATCCTCTTTTAATTGTTAGCAACAACTTGCGTGAAACACATTCCTTGACATTTTGTTTCTAATAAAACACCCTTTTTTAGAACTTTGTCTCACCTTACACAAACATCTGAATCCTCTTTTAATTGTTAGCAACAACTTGCGGGAAACACATTCCTTGACATTTTGTTCAGCAAACATGCAGTATCCACTATGATGGTCCACCTCTTACTATCCACACTAGTTGAACTGTTCTGAAAGTTCACATAGAATTCATTTAGATCCTAAAGAATTACACAAGGGAAAAAAAAATGCAAACTAAGTAGTATGTTGATGAAATGGTAAACAAAATCTGTCCAATGAATTCAACCAAAACAACATTTCATAATTGCAGTTTAATGAGAGAGCACTGTTAATCCATGAATGTGCTAACGAACTTAAAATGGTGGAAGTCACAAGCAGAGATTGAAAAGGATCACTCTTATCTGCTCTACACTTCACTTGAGTAGGCTCTTTTACCAACCTGGCACGACTTTTGGATGCAGAACTTGCTGATTTCTGTTCTTGAAGAACTTTCCGAGTATATTTTTCTCTCTGTTGATTTATGTAGCACTTCTCAGCTTTGTTCAAAGGCAATGATTGATATGACTTCGGATGCTTAAATTCTGCCGACTTCCCTATCTTGTTTATTGACCTAAGTAGAAGACTATTTGGAGTCTTATTCTCTTTGTCCACAGTGGAAATTTCATCTTCCTTCATCATGCTGGAACTTTATTCTTCGAGGACTTGGGTGGAAGAGAATCAGGAGGGTAATTGTCCTTGTCGTGAGTAAAAGTTTGTTCTTCGTCAGAGTCAGCAAAAGGTTTCTTTGAAACTGGTTCAGTTTTGCAATTTTCATGGATCAGTGGTTTAACTTCCGTTTTGTTATTAACCCTCACAATCTTTTCCTTGTCCCTGCCAGTTTGAATCTGAACGGTGTTAAGTTTACCCTTCTCGACCAGATGCTCGAACTCAATCTTTCCACTGATTTCACAGTGGAACTCTTTTCACCTTGTTCATGGTCTACTGCAAATGAGCTCTCAGTCTCTACTTCTTCTTTGTCCAAAAAGGAATTGTTCGTGACTTCAGGCACAGAATGCACTAATGGACTCATTTTCTCTACAGTCAATATCAAATTCTCATCAGAAAATAGCAGTTTTAAACCGTCCAATTGATCATCCAGTGAATGCATTTGATATTTTTCACAGCACGAACCATCCTCATCCTAGACAATGGAATTACATGAATTGGAAAAAATTATATTCGACTATATTCCAATGACTCCGTAGTATGAAATCATTCTTGCAGATAGAAATCTTAGAATTCACCTGATGTTTTTCTTCTCCTGTTTCTTCTACTCTATCTGAGGCATCCATTTGAGGCACAATCGGGTAGTCCAAATCGGAAGCACAACTCAGTGGAACCCAATGCAGCTTGTACACCCGAATTGATCCCCCAAGTTGCATTCTGTCACCCTCGTTCAGTTTTACCCTCATACCGGGGTCAATTCTCTTCCCTGAAATCCATGTGCCATGTCCTAAAACACAATCCCCCATAGTTCAATAACTTGAAACTCCAAAAAAACCATAAAGTTAAATCCCTACTAAAGTATTGCGAATACACTAATATCAACATATTCGATGCTATATATTTTTCTCAAATTCTAACCATCCAAGTTAATTAGAACAAATACCAAAATATCAATATCAAGATTGTGGAGAAGAAATGATGAAGATCATCATCACTGTAAACATGTATATAAGGTTCATCAAGTAAATCCCACATCAAATTTCTATATAAAAAATAGACCTACACACAGATGAGAGAATTAGAAAGTGTAAAATCACATTTACCAGAAAACAAGTCAGTTACAGATAGGGACCGAGAGGAGGGTTTGACATGGATACGGAGGTGGAATCTACTGATGCTGGGGTGCTCCAAGGTAATGTTACAATCGGGGTGCCTTCCAATCACCAATGTACCTTCCATTTCTGATTCTTCCATGCCAAATTCTTGCAGAGAAGAAGAAATTGAAGGTGGGTTTTCCAAAAGATAAATGTTCTTGAGAATTGTATTGTTCTTGAGCACTGTCAATACTGGGATTGACCTCTCCTCCATTTTCTGTCCTTCCAGCCCTTCAGCCATTGGAAAGAGAGGAGTTTCTGGTCTCTTGTTCTTGAATAAAAGAAGAATTTGAATGAATCTTACTAATGGCTATCTTTAATTTTTTTCATTCAATTGTAAAACCTAAAATGATAAAACTTACACCTATGATTTTAATTTTTTGAATTGTTGATGTAAGAAATGTAGATCAAAATTAATTATATTTACGAAAAATTTAGTTGCATTGAATCTCTACGTCATGTCTCATTTAAAGCAATTTGAAAAAATAAATTATAAGAAATGTTTTTGATCTTCAAAAATTCGGTAGGAACCAAGTCTTCTGCAAGAACGAAAACGTCACAATTCATGTAATATCCAACCTAATGTACCAAACTTATCCTTAAAGTCGTATTCAAGTCCTTATAACGGTGCTAATACGATGAAGATGGAAAGTAGACCATCCCAATGTTGCGGAGTATTAGAAACTCAAGCATCGACTAGCGTCTACTAGAACGAGAGTACTTTGATCATTTTGTAGTTTTAAGGTAAGTATTTGAACTCTACTAGATACTTCGTTAGTTTTATTAACTATTTTTTTATATCGAATGAAAGCATGGAGATTTCTCCTAAAATATCGATCTTTGATAGGCAATATGAGGGTTTAGCAATCTTAGGTCACCGTGATATTGTTTCTTCCACACTTACTCTGCATAAAAAATGAGTTATAATGCAGGGCCCGTCCTGCCAAATTCATCTTCTGTCTGTAGTACCCGACAGTAGTATCAAGCTTGACAAATTCATCCATAACTTGTAAGCACTTAAAAGTGTTATGAAATAAGCACCAAATCTTGCCAATATTATTCAATCTAGCATGTCAAACATGCCAAAATATAGAAAATAACACCTTTTGATGATGCATGAAGGGACTAGAATGTAAGGCTTCAAAAGATTCATTAGATTTTCATCTTTGACTTGTTGAAGCACCTCATCGAAGTTAAAACATTCAATTTTTCGTGTGTTCGCTTGTAATGGATCTCCTTATAATTATTATAAGCATTAGTTGAGTTAAACGGTCGTCTAAGGTTTCCGGTTTATTAGAGGCCCTCAATTTTCAAAATTTTACATGTCTTTGGCTTTTTATGAAAAATTCTGTCAATAAATTAATAGCGTTAAAAATAATAAGTAACGTCCCTTCCAATAAAAAACAATTAAACATTACATATGGTTTTTTAGTTTGTAATATTAAAAACATAAGCAGATGAATAAATTTTATTTACAAAAGAGAATCTCATCAATAAATAAATTAATAAAAAGATAAATACTTTCCTATTAAAAAATTAAATAAAAAGATATTTATGTGTTAGCATGCTATAAATATATAAAAATAATAAAATTTTGTAATTGACACTGATAACTTCCTGTCAATGATTCTTGACATCACACATGACATTGTTGTTAGTAACGTCGAGGAAGGTATTCTGGTAATCACCAATGATTTGCTATTGATAACTTTGTTTGAATCACCAATATAAATTCATTTTAATTAGAATAATTAAGAATCATATTGGCTATAACCTACAACATCTCATCGGTTGTTGAAGAATCGACTTTGATTCTTGATAGTTGACGACATTATCGTTGTAATCAGTGATGAATGTGTGTCTGCAATTACCAACAGTATCTCTGTCCATTACTCCGTCTAACAGATATTGATTTCAATTATACTCTCGTCATTCATGGACATAATTTTGGTAAGTGATTATTTACTCATTAAGTTTTTTTTTTCTTTTTTATCTTTATTCTCGAAAAGGTTCCTTTTAACAATTTTGTCTAAGGCTCTTAAATTGCTTGAGCCACATGTGAGCATGAATAGTTACATTAAATTCATATCTCTTCCTAAATATATTAAAGTTTAGAGTCGAAAACAAAAACCACGCAATTATAGTAATATATTACTTGAAAATTGAATGCCAAAATTAACAATGTAGCACGCATAGTACGAGTTGATATCTTTTCCTAAACATGCACAAAAACCATGCAATTCTAGTAATATCGTACTTGTAAATGCCACATTGTTATCCTTGAGGTTCTTCTCTTGTAAAACTATGTCATTTTTTGTTATATTGTACCGACATTGTATGTCATGTTTATCGACCTATCATGTATAGTATGCGTTAGCTGATATATTGACTAAAAACATATCAAGTCTTGGCCTAAAAGAAAACGGTGTAATAATTATCATAAAATCATACTTGATCGTGTCTTACGAAACCGTCTCACTTTGATTTGTCATGCCGGCATTGTATCTTGTGGTTATTAATAAGAGTAAGTTACCACCATTGACTAAATATTCGAGTTTTAGTAAACAGGGAAAACGAAAGAAGGTAAATTATACATTCGATCTTTGTACTTATAGTGATCGATAAATTAGTAGAGGGAGTCCATACCCTTCCTCCACATTCCAGGTGAGGGTCCAAACATCACTAAATCACACTTACTATATTTAAATTGATGACCTTGGCTAAAAAATGTCAAAGTTCCGGTCTTGAGGAGGGAAAAAAAAAAGGAGGAGAAGAAAAAAAACTAGCTAGCTTGTGGTACATTGATATTTCAATGAAAACCTCCAGCGCTCATGGCCTTGGCCGGTGAAACTTCGGAAGGTAAAGATGGAAGCATGGTGAGTGCGAAAATCCCGCTAGCTGCAGCTGCTACCGCACCCACAATGAATGCTGGTAAGTTACCGCCTCCGAACAAGGCATCCCACGGTCCACTTAGCAACGACACCACCATCTGTTACGATTACAAAGTATTCCCATTAATGCAAATCATGGTAAAACCATTGAAGCAAGCACAATCGTAATAGATAATCTTACCTGTGGTATAACTATTGCAAGATTTAGAACTCCAAGCGACAGACCTGAAGAGTAAATTATGATAATCAATGAAAACAACTACTCCAAACTAAGATCTTATTTCGATAACATAGGATCGGCTATATGAATCCTTTTTATCGAAAACAAGAATGAAAACGAAAAAGAAACTCAAATAACCTCAAAATGGTTGCAGCATTATTTACCTTGTCCTGCCCCAGAATCACTAGTAAATATAGATGCTAGAGCAAATGGAATGCTGAATGTCACCTATATAGAATTCAAATTAAAGGTTTCAATTCAGTAGCATTATATATACATTCAACATTCAAATAGGATGATATAGAATGGATTAATTGGTAAATTTGGTAGTGTCGAACAACCGGAAAAAAGTTTGTCAAATAAAAATTTCTCATTTAGTCCCATCTATGCAACAACATTTAGCCTAAATAAGTTCACTACTTGACATCAAACAAGAACAAACTGAGTCTAATTTCGCTAAAGTGAATCCCTTTTCGTAATTTTGTTCCAGCCATCCCCAAATATTCAAATCGAACATAATGCTAAAAGATACAATCAAGATTTGGACCCATATATGAAGTTAAAAAACCTATCGCACGTTCGCTTTTCTTGTAAAATAAAATTCTTAAAGAAACAACAAGAGTAGTTGTGTGTCATAAAACCACTTTAAAATTCTTAAAGGAATCCTAGTTTATTGAAAAATAAAATTCTTAAAGAAACAACAGCATTGACTTTGGTTGAAAATAATAAAATTGTCACCCAAAAGTTTAGCAAAACTAGGATTCCTTTATGCCCACTGTCCTAAATGTGTGATTTTGAAGTATTCCTAATTGCCAAAAATTACATTGTTGCAAAGGGACATTCAATGCATTCTGATCAGTTTACAAAAATATAGCTATGCAAATGAGAACCCACCTTTCTCTTTTGGTTGCCAGCCAGAAAGTCAAATTTGGTTATTAATGTTTCCTCTCATTTTTTAACAATGTACTACGAATATATCTGCCAAGACATTCCCGAGGAGTCTGAAAATTAAATTGTTAAGGGCTTTGCGTTATCAGAGTGAGTTAATGTACCAAATTATAAAGAGTAAGAGTAATGCTACTTGCAGTCGTGGGCATGTAATTATTTGATGCATTAATGTGATAGTTTTTTTACCACATTTAATATATCAAATACACACTTAACATGTGTTGCCACATAGGTCGACTGCTGCAGTGAGCGACTGCAAGTAGCATTATTCAAAGAGTAATGTTATTCATCCTCACTAGGGCTGAACCTCAATCTATGTGTCAATTGCATGGCATTAAATTATAGACTCAATTAAATAAGTCATGTGATTTTGTTTTTAAATGAATCTATCATTTAATGTTATGTAATTGCCACTGGCTCAACCCCAGGGAGAATGAATAACATTACTCAATTATAAAATCACTAAGTTAGGTGCCCACATACGCGAGATTACGAGAAGATAAAATTTTCCGAATCCAACTAACGCATGAAAAAAATAACTAAAAAATCAATATTCTGCTTAAAATTTTAGAGGAAAGCTATTTAAATGGTAGCACTTGTAACATTAAATTACATATTCACTTGAATACAAGGATTTATATCTTATTTAATAGAACCTATGTTAGATAACATTATTCTAAAATTTATGCTTTTAAAATTGAAGCGCGTGTAATGATAGGAAAAGAAGAGAACTAACCGCTTGAGGAATGCCAAGAATAGTGAAGAGGGCCAAAGCACCGACCTTGACACCAGTGACTGGTGGCTTAGCATCGTCACTATGGGTGTTGTGACGCCGAGTAGACTCCGCCAATTTGGTGATCAATACGGTCATGGCCAAGCAAATGGCTAACAAAAAGTTGGCAATACCCCACAGTCGCTTCACCCCACCGATTCCACGCGCCAAGAACTCCATAGCGAGGGAAGTGCACCCTAACACCACAGCACTCAGCATCAGCCCAAGTGCCCCTGCACGCACCCCATGGTCGTACAACTTCCCTTCCCCCACCTTCCCTCCATACACCTCCCTCCCCATCCAATCCGTGTCGAACAGCAAGAAGGGGAACCAAGCAATCCAATTCAAACAAGTCACCCAGAGTAAAATCCTCATAGGCCTAGGCAAGCCCTTCAATGCACCAAATAACTCCCCAAAAACTGGTATTTTCCCCTTCTTAACCACCTCGTGACCTCGTGACTCTGCCTGTGAAGGGACCACGGCCATTTCACGCACAATAATCAAGGCCAATATTGTTAAAATTAACAAGAGAAATATTGAGAGGAAAAAACAGCTCTTGAGATTTGCACAATACACATCACAGGCTTTTGTTTTGGTAAATGGAAACATTTTATACAGGTGAGTATATGATCCAGCTGCATAACCGAGCACGTTCCCCACCGCCATAAAGAAAGAGAAAAATGAATTTGCAATCCTCATTTTCTGAGCATTTCCACCAGAAAGATCAGCCAACAGAGCTCTACAAGGCCCCTGCAAAAAATTAAAAAATAAAAATCAAGAGACAGAACAAAACAATTGAACTTTCCTTGAACTTCACATATTTTTGTACATTTCTTGTTTCAGCTAAACTTTCCACATAAACCCATTATTGGATTGTTAATTTTTCAGATAAGTATAGACCATGTTTGAACCGTATTTTCATTTTCCCACTCATTCTAAATAACATATTTTTCAATAAAATAATATTTTTCATCGCATCAATAATTTTTCTTCTTTTTTCAACCACATATTCATCCTCACATCACATCAAATCAAAAAAATGCATTCTCTCCAGAAAATTTGCATCTAACACACTCATGATAAGATTCTTCCTGTAAAAAGTACAAAACAATATAAAAGTACCAAATTAAGTTAAATTAAAATTCAAAATTATTAACCCATTATCTCCTAAAATTAATTGAAAGCACGAATACAATGAAAAATTTCATCCAAAAATTTGTAAAAATTAGCAAATTCTATGTAAAAATTATCTATACCGATAGTACGATAGCATATGGAGTTGAAATTTGTATGTATAATTTACCTGTAACGTGTTGTTGGCTACGTCAAGGATCCAAAACCCGACGACAAAAACAGCAATGGCTCGAGGCTTCGCCGTCTTGCCGAGTGGGTCACCGGAGGCATGACCAATATCTGCGGCAAACCCAATTAGAAAAACGGCGACGGCAACAAGTGCGGTACCGGCGGCTATAAAGGGACGGCGACGCCCAAATCTGGAGGAGCAATTGTCACTGTAGTACCCGACAATCGGCTGCACGAACAAGCCGGAGATTGGCCCACACAGCCAGATGAAGGCCGCCCAAGTATGAGGAATGCCCAGTAGCTGCACGTACGGAGTCAATAAAGAGAGCTGAAGGGCCCACCCGAATTGCACCCCTGCCGCTATTGCAGCCACAGGAATGAGTTTTCGAAGCGGTTCTTGAGGTGGCGCAAGTGGTGGTTCTGACTCAACAGTATTCATTTTGCTTCCGTCAACCTCCATGGATATATAATTTACCTCTTCGCTCTCTCACTCTAGAAACTCTGTATTTATAGTTTTCTCTCACTATATCTATATGCAGTGAATTTTGTGAATTTGAGAGGGAATAGGGGCGGGTATTTATAAGGGTTTTTGCATGCATAAATGTTTATGGATAAAGCTAGAATATAGGAATTTGTCATTTGGAGAAAAATCCAACCTTAGTTGACTACTTTAAAAAATTGCAAAGAAGGTCCTCGATCTAATTCCGACTTTTATTTTTGCCATTTATGTTTTCAACTTTTGTATTTTGTAGCATATTGATCTATGGGGCGCGGTTTTGTCATCTATGTTATAGTTAGGAAGTTATATTTTAATTTACAACACTTCTGTAAAAATGGAGGACGAGAGAAGCATCACAGATCAATGAAACAAATTATGTGGTGAAAAAACACACCACAAAGAAAATAAGTTAGTGAGGATGAGGAGGAGGTGTAGGAAATCAGGAGAGTCGAGCGATTGCGGTTGTCTATAGGAAGTGGTAGGATTGGGGACATGACCAGGGTGGAACAACGCTTCATACTTCTCTTCTCTTTTCCTTTCGGTTTTCCTTTTTGATATTTTTCATTTCGTTTCTTTTTTGTGGGTTCCAATTTTTTTTTTTTTTTCATTAACTTTATTTGTGATTCCCATTTCTATTCATTAAAACAATGTTTCTTGTGTAATGCAAATTGCTTTTATCCGTAAAATAGATAAAAATCAATACAACTTGAAAACGTCTACTTATTTGTTAAGAAAAAATAAATTAAAGACCAACTAGCTATGGCGGTCATAGGTTGGAGATAATGTGCAACTCTACATCACTTTCATAGCAATTTATCACTCATTTTTGCATTTCTTAGACAAAAATTCCATTATTTATCTTTTCACCATGTGAATATTTTTTGATATACAGATTTGCTCTAGTATTTGTTGTTTTTTAACAAATTAAGGGCGTGTTCAGTGGAGATTAAAATTGAAAAACTAGCTATTATTGTTGACTTTTATTAAACGAGTGAGACCCAATAACGATTATATTTTCAATTGTAATTGAATTTTAATTGGAAACAAACAAGCTCTAAAACAACCGTTGATTCCAGATTGAGAATTGAAGGTGGACTTTCATTTGGAATTATTATCCTTTTGAAGTCTTGCCTTGAAATTAACATTAGAATTTTACAGGGGAAAAAATTAATTCAATCAAATTATGGTTCTCTAAGTTTTGTTTAGTTTTCACTTTTAAGTGTTTAATAATTAAATCTGATCAATTATTTTGTTTTCTTGTATTTTAGTTAGCACGTTTAAGCTCATTAAATATTTTGGATATGTATGGAATGTTAGATATAACTTGACAAGGATATAGAGGTGAAAAGCAAATATATGTCTATTCTTAGATACAATGAACTACGGTAAGGATGGATGAATTATCATCATGATTTTTTTTTTTTCATTTACACCACATATTTTTTGCAATAGAGGTCCTTAATCTTTGCTGGTTATGTTTTCAACATTTTTTCTTTTCCTCAAAGGTTATGCTACAAGTACATAATTCATTGTACATAATGGTGTCCACACTCTCAATATTCTATTTATTAAGACATCTTCTCAATGTCTGTCCATTTGGGAGTGCGTGAAAAGATTTATTTATTGTTATTGTTTGTTCATGGATTGGAGAGAGTAACAATTATCAAATAAAAATATTCCGAACAAGATAAAATAGAAAAACAATTTGATTGGAAATCTTTGAAAAAGTTCTTTATCTATGTCTATTACTTCTAAATATCCCACGAGATTTAAGTGAATAATTTGTTTTATGTGAGTATTTTTCATATTTTGACATTTTTTTTTCAAGTTTAAACTAAAGTTTTCTCCTCGCGCAAAGTAAACTTTTAATTGCGAGTTTATTAGACTTGTCTTTGGACGACTTACCAAAGTTGCTAGGCGACTAACATTTATCTCCGTGCTTGTAATGTGTTATGGAACATAAATCCTTGTACTCATCATGTGCTACAAGATATCCATCTTCTCAGGAACAAAACAACTCATAATTAGTGAAATAAAAATTGTCTCAACATCAACTAGGTAGCATATTGGAGAGATTCAATTTGTGGTTTCGCATGTTCCACCAATGTACATATATAGTGTGAAATGAAACTATGCTCGAAGTCCAAAATATGAATTAACGCCGTCATCATGAATTATAAAACTTCAATCTTGAAATCGATAGGGTGATAACTAAGCCAAGTCGCTAGTTGGCTCGCAGGCTCAACTCTATCATTGGACTGCTCGAACTCGTATTGAAATGAGCTCCCTTTTTTTTTTTCACAAGTCCAGCTAGATTGAATCACGGTCTTGGTCTACAGCCAGCTCGTCCCACGAGTTGACTTGTGGACCGTGTGAACATTTGGCCATCCAAAAGGTCAAAAATATGACCGTTCGGGCCAAAAAGGTTACATGATCTTTTGGCCCAATGAACACATTTTTATTTTTTTTATTTTTTAAAAGGGCTACTTTTTCTATAAAAACCCTCTCCTCAACTCATTTTTTCTCACACAACTCTTCGTTCTCAATCTATAATTGTTACAGTCTTCATACTAGCTCTTTATTGTGTAATTTTGAGTTTCATTATCTCTAAAGTTTCTTATTTGAGTTATTTTTTTTTAAATTTTAGTATATATTATATTATTTGTACATCTTTCTTTAATATATTATTCCAAATTAATTACAACACATTGCTGGAAACTGGTGACTTCAACCAACTCTATGGTACTTCCAACACTCTAGAAACTACTCCGACTCCTCCATTAGAGCATCACTGTACTGGTCTAAATGATATTCCAATCCTAGTGATTTGGGCGATGATCATGGGAGCACGAATCCAATTGATTTGGAGATATAGAAGAAGATGAAACGGTGAAAATATATCAACAAGTAAATAGCAAATGAAGAAACAAACTGCCAAGTGCTGAAAATACTTCAAATTGGTTTTCATGGGTGCACTAGTAGTACATGTTCTCCTAGTGGTAGATGTTCAAAGTAATTGAATTAGAAGAAGATTTTTAAGATTTGACTTCATAATTTACAAGTGTTGTTACATTTATTTTCTTTAATTTAGAGAAAATTTTATGTGAGATTTATGAGTTGTACGTCAAAAAGAACAATGGGAATATTCGAAGGCCCCCAGTAGCAAGGGCTAGTTCATTGTCACAAGAAGACACGATTTATGAAACTACTTTAGTTCTTGTAGAGTTACTCGACATTCTAGTACTTCTCCTCTCTTTGCTCATGGTAGAAGAATTAGTTAGGTATTTTGCTCACAACATGCTTAATATTTTGTATGAGGAAGAAATAAAAAGTTTGACATACTTAGACAGTGGGGAATAAATGAGCGTCAATATCTAATTGTAACAATTGTAGCACATGATCTACTAATACTTCCTATATTTATTGTTACATCAAAATCTGCTTTTAGTGCAGGTGGCACGATTGTATCTAATTACAAATCAAGACTTAAATATGATACACTATAGAGTAATGTATTTAAAGTGCACAGAAGACATATAGCTATTAATAGTTGAAGATTTTTAAGATTTGACTTCATAATTTATAAGTATAATCACATTAATTTTCTGTAATATGGATAAAAGTTTATGTGAGATGTAGTAGCTATACGTCGAAAAGAACAATAGAAATATTCAAAGGCCCCCAGTAGCAAGGGCTTGTTCGTCGTCACAAGAAGACACGATTTATAAAACTACCTTAGTTCTTGTAATGTTTAAGAAGACACGATTTATGAAACTACTTTAGTTCTTGTAGAGTTACTCGACATTCTAGTACTTCCTCTCTCCTTGCTCATGGTAGAAGAATTAGTTAGGTATTTTGCTCACAACATGCTTAATATTTTGTATGAGGAAGAAATAAAAAGTTTGACATACTTAGATAGTGGATAATAAATGAGCGTCAATATCTAATTGTAACAATTGTAGCACGTGATCTACTAATACCTCCTATATTTATTGTTACATCAAAATCTGCTTTTAGTGCAGGTGGCACGATTGTATCTAATTACAAATCAAGACGTAAATATGATACACTATAGAGTAATGTATTTAAAGTGCACAGAAGACATATAGCTATTAATAGTTGAAGATTTTTAAGATTTGACTTCATAATTTATAAGTATAATCATATTGATTTCTGTAATATGGAGAAAAGTTTATGTGAGATGTAGTAGCTATACGTCGAAAAGAACGATAGGAATATTCAAAGGCCCCCAGTAGCAAGGGCTTGTTCGTCGTCACAAGAAGACACGATTTATGAAACTACCTTAGTTCTTGTAATGTTACTCGACATTCTAGTACTTCCTCTTTCCTTACTCATGGTACAAGAATTAGCTAGGTATTTTGCTTACGACATGCTTAATATTTTGTACAAGAAAGAATAAGTTTTGACATACTTAAATAGTGGAGAATAAATGAGCATCAATATCTAATTGTATCAATTGTAGTACATGATCTACTAATGCCTCTGATAGCTACTATTACATCGAAGTTTGTTTTTTGTGCAGGTGGTACGGTTTTGTTTAATTACGACCCTATTTGTCTACAATTATTCCAAAAAATTGTTTGCTACAATAAGATTCTCCACCATACATTTATCCAATAAAATATTCTACACATAAACCAATAAAGTTACTTTACTTTTCAATCACACATTCTCCAAAAAAATACTATTAATTACTCTATTTTTCTCCCAATAATAGGAGACAAACGCACCCTACATATGAAGACTTTTTGAGTAATGTATGTAAAAGATTGATAAGACTTATGGCTCTAAATTCAAGATTAAAAGGGCATATTAATAGTTGAAGATTTTTAAGATTTGACTTAATAATTTATAAGTATTGTTACATTAATTTTCTTTAATTTTTTTTTATTTTTCTAGAAAAAATTTGCATATTTGACGTCTTGTTCATTTAAAATTTT